TGTAGCGAACCACACCATTCAAGCCATCGGCCAGCCCGTCAGGCTCCGACCCATCATCCCCTCCCCCTTTGTAATCGGGCTCGAGGTTGGCGATCGGCGCGGGCAGGCGACCCGAGATCGACGCGGTGTTCTCGACGAGCACGGCGAAGACCTGGTTGGTCGTGAGCGTCGAACGGAAAGAGGCATCCCCACCGATCGCTGCGCCGCCACTGCTAAGCCTGCAACGGTTGGTGCCGTCATCTGCCACACCGCACGCCAGCCCGGTCGGGCAATCATCGTCGGAGGCACACTCGACATCGGGAAAGGAGAAGTAGGTTGGCGTGTTGATCGCGAGATCTCCTCTCACCGGAGCGACCGTGCTCCCGCCGATCACCGTCTCGTTGCTGATCGCAGCGCTGTCGGTGTCGATCATCACGAAACGCATGATCGCATCCCCTGTCGACCCCTGGCATGATCCTGCCTCGGGCGTCAGGCCAATGATCTGCAACTCCCCGAACTCACGGTCCGAGAAGGAGATCTGCGCGAGCGTATCACAACCGCTAATGCCGCCAAGCGAGAGCACACCGAGTGTGGTGGCTGCCATCACGCTCGGCGCGATCGTCTTCAACAGTGCACTCCGTTTGGGCGCATGATGACTCATGTCCTTACTTCCTTTTTCATCAATCACGATCAATTCACTCTCCCGTCATACCGCCGTAAACACACATGTGTAGGTTTGAGCAAGAGGTGGCTCGGCGAACTCGCCAGGACATCCAAAGATCACAGGCGTGAGCTCTTTCAGTATTTGCTCGGAGGACCCACATGTAGGACCCCTCCAAGATTACCGGTGCAACGTTCTACTCGATGATCCCCGCGAGCGCAACCTGTTGCCCCTATCCGATTTTTGGGCGAGGGCGGTGGGGGATATCCATGCCCGATATGGCGCGAAACAGCCAAAAAAGCAAAAGACCCGGTCTTCTTTCGAAAACCGGGTCTCTTGCAAGGTGCGAAGAGGCGGGCTCGAACCGCCGACACCGGCCTTTTCAGGGCCGTGCTCTACCTACTGAGCTATCTTCGCATATGTTGTCCCGAAGCAGTCTGCTGCGCTTGGGAGGATGGGTTTTAGACATCCGCGTCTGATCTGTCAAGAGGTTTCGAACAAAAAATCTCGTCCCCTTGCCCGCGCCCCTACCAGCGCTTATGGTCAGCCCGTATTTGGAAACGCCAACCTACAAGGAGGAGCTCGCCTCCTCCCTACACATATTCACGACTCCTCGCACGAGAGAAACCATGTCCAGCGCAACCCGAGGCGACCTCGAGCACGTCGAGCTCTTCACTGATTTCTACGAGCTCACCATGGCGCAAGGCTACTGGCGCGCCGGTCGCGCCGACAAGCGCGCTTGCTTCGATTACTTCTTTCGCTCCCTCCCCTTCGAGGGCGGCTTCGTGATCTTTGCCGGTTTGGGCGATCTCCTCGACAGGTTGGACAACCTCCAGTTCGACGAGACCTCGCTGGCATTCCTGGCCGAGGCTGGACTCGACAAGGACTTCCTCGATTACCTCTCGACCTGGCGCTTTAAAGGGAACATCCGCGCCGCGCACGAGGGCGAGGTCGTCTTCCCTCTCGAACCGATCCTCCAGGTCGAGGGGAGCATGCTCGATGCGCAATTGCTCGAAGCCCTCTTGCTCAACACCCTGAACTTCCAGTCCCTGATCGCCACCAAGGCCGCGCGCATCAAGCTCGCCACCAAGGGCGCCCCCTTCGTCGAGTTCGGCCTGCGCCGCGCGCAAGGCATGGGCGCGCTGCAAGCATCACGCGCGGCCATGATCGGCGGCGCGAGCGGCACCTCCAACGTGCACGCCGCCTTCCAACTCGGCCTCTCGCTCCGTGGCACCCAGGCGCACGCCTGGATTCAACACTACGACGACGAGATCGAGGCATTCCGCGCCTGGGCAGACCTCTACCCGAATAACTGCGTCCTGCTCGTCGACACCTACAACACCCTGGGCGCTGGCGTCCCCAACGCCATCACCGTCGGCAAGGAGCTCGCCGCCAAGGGAAAATCACTCGAGGCGATCCGCCTCGACTCGGGAGACCTCGCCTACCTGAGCAAAAAGGCGCGCGCCATGCTCGACGAGGCGGGACTCACCGAAACAAAGATCTACGCCACCAACCAGCTCGACGAGCACCTCATCGAGAGCCTCAAGCGTCAAGGCGCCCCCATCGACCTCTACGGCGTGGGAACACGCCTCGTCACAGGTCACGACGCTGGCGCGCTCGATGGCGTCTACAAGCTCGCCGTGCGCGACGGCGAGCCCTGCCTCAAGATCTCGGACAACTTCACCAAGGTGAACTTCCCCGGGGACAAGAACCTGTGGCGCTACTTCGACGCCAACGGCAACTTCTACGGGGACGCCATCTCGCTCGCCAGCGAAGCAGGCCCCTCCATCGAGACGATCTATCACCCCTTCTTCCCCGAACAGCGCTCCAAGGTCGCGAGCTTGCAACGCGAAGAACTCCTGCATGATGTGGTCAAGGAGGGAGAACGCGTGCTCGAAGACAGGAGCATCGCAGAGATCGCCGCGTACTCGACCTCTCGACTCGACCTCCTGCCAGAAGAACACCGCCGCTTCGAGAACCCGCACACCTACAAGGTCGGCGTCACAAAGGAGCTGCTCACCCTGAGGAGCGATCTCTACAACGCCACGCGCGGGAGAGCGCTCGGCGAAGAGGGCTGACCCCTCGACAACCAGACAAGAAACGAGCGAGGGCGCGGTGAGAATCACCGCGCCCTCGCTCGCTTCTTGTCCAGGAGAAGACGCTCAGTCGAGCCTGATCTCACCAGAATTCTTTCGCTTCTTGATCAGGACAGAATCATCCGCCTCGATCGGGTTGCCGTTGACCTCGGTGATGCGGAACTCGACGCGGCGGTTGTCCGAGCGACACGACTTGATCTTGCGCGCGTTGCGACGCTTGTTCTCGAGCAGCTCGGGCATGTCCTTGCAGAGCGGACGATCCTCGCCATAGCCCTCGAACGCGAGCCGGGAAGGCGGCACGCCCTGGTCGATGAGGTACGCGCGCACGGCCTCGGCGCGACGCCTCGAGAGCTCGAGGTTGTCATACTCGTCGCCGACATCATCGGTGTGGCCCTCGACGCGCGCCTTGGTGATCTGCGGGTTGCGGATCAGCACCAGCGCGACGGTGTTGAGCAACGGATACGACTTCTTCTTGATCGTGGCCCTGCCAGTGTCGAAGAAGACCTTCTGGAAGATCTTGATCTCGGTCTCGGTCACGACCACCGTCTCCTTGCCATCAGGGCAGCCGTCGTCATCCTTGACGCCGTTGAAGGTCTCGGGCTTGTCGGGGCACTTGTCGACCTTGTCGGGGATGGTGTCCTTGTCGCGATCCTTGATCGGACAACCCTTCTCCTCTGGAACGCCAGCCTCGTCAGGGCACTCGTCGTTCACATCGAGGACCGTATCCCGGTCATTGTCAGGATCGGGGCAGCCATCCTTGTCCTGGAAGCCATCGAGATCCTCGGGCTCGAGCGGACATTGATCCTCGGCGTCGGGGATCGTGTCACTGTCATTATCGAGATCCGGGCAGCCGTTCTCGTCTTCGAAGTTATCGATATCCTCGGCCTCGTCAGGGCACTCGTCCTCTTTGTCCAGGATGCGATCGCGATCGTTGTCCGGGTCAGGACAGCCATCCTCATCCTCGAACTTGTCGATATCCTCTGGCTCGTTGGGGCAGCGATCATCAGGATCGATCAAGCCATCGCTGTCGTTGTCGTATTCGGGGCAGCCATCCTGATCCTCGTACTTGTCGAAATCCTCGGCGTCATTGGGGCAGGCGTCCTCTTTATCGAGGATCCCGTCACCATCACGATCGAACTCGCGCGGCGTATAACTGAGCGAGGCGAAGACGCGAAAATCAGGAGCGCCCACACCGCTCGTCAAACCGGCGCCAGCGCCAGCGTTGACGACCAGATCGGCGGGCAAGAAGAACTGCAAGCCCCCTTCTGCCTCGACGGGCTTGCCCTTGTCGAACTGCGCGGGATCGCCCGTGGAGGTGACCGCTTCGGCGTCCGCGATGGAGATGTTGCCATAGATCGCGCCGATCACGCGCATGATGTCCACGCCAGAAGGAAGCTCGAGCCCCACACCCCAGCGGAACATGTCGTCGCTGACGTAGTTCGCCGCGGTCGTCGTGGGGCGCAGCAGCTGGTAGGCGAGGTTGGCGGAGATGGCCAGGCCGACCTCGTGTCGCCAGTCGACGTTGAGGCGTGGCTCGAGGCGGAAGGCGCCGTCGGACTGGAAGGAGTCGGTGTCTCCGATGGGAGCGTACAGCGGGAGCAAGAACGCGACGCCAAAACCGGCGAACTTGTTCGGGTTGAGGATCTGCACCTTGGGGATGATGCGCAAATCACCGATGGCCGCACCATCCACGCTCTGCCCCGGCGCGCCGAGCGCGCCGAGATCTCCGCCTGACTGGAAGGGAATCACCGGGAGCGCGAAGCCGAGCTCGACGATGTTGAACAACCCGATCGATCCCAACACCTCCGTCTTGAGCTGATGCTGGATCAAACGCTCACCGCCATCATCCACGTCATCGGTGATCAGCGGCACGACCTGGATCGGATCGTTGGCGTAGTGGAAGAACAACCCCGCGCTAAAGCGCAGGTGAGGGAGCACATCGGACTTGCTGATGTTGAGCAAGTTGTAGCCCTGCGAAGGCAGCGGCTCGAAGTGCTCGACCTGAAAGGAAGTCAGCGTCGGTTGCTGTTGCTGCTGCGCGAACGCGCTCGTCGGTGCCCCCACCCACACGAACATCGCGAAAATAACAAGAAGCGCGTGAATGAAAACGACGCGCTTCCTCGAGAGGCGATCGAACATCGACCTGCTCCAGCTTGAAGTCTTGGATAGGTTCCACGAAGTGCTTTTATCTCTCCTTCATTCCTAAACCAATCCCCCCATGTCCGCAAGATCGCCAGGGTTCGCCAGACTTTGGCGCTCTCGAATCACTCCACGTGATGGAAGTGTGAGAAGTCGACCTCGAGCATGTTGTCCTCGCGCACCGTCAGGATATCGACAAACCTCGCGTCGATGGCGACCTCGTCGATGGTGTAGGAGTAGCGCGCGTGGATCATCTGCCCGAAGGTTCCATCGACGCCGTTCATCGAGATGATCATCTCGGCCTGATCCTCCTCCCAATCCTCGGGAGAGAGTCCGTAGAGCGGACTCTCCTCGTCGATGACATGCATCACCGTCCAACTGAGCGCGAACATCGAGGTGCGGCGTCGCTTTAGCGGGAGCGTATAGAAGCGCCGGAAACGCTCCCCCTCGGAGGTCGTCTCGAAGCGCACGAAGGAGACATCCACGGTCGCATCGACGATCTGATTGCCGCGCAGGTTCGCCATGCGAAACATCAGCGTGCGCTCGTCGTTAAACTCCGTGATCACGGCCCGGTCACTAAACAACACGCGCGCTGTGGGACGCGAGAACTTGGCGAACACGAGCCCCGTCGAGAGCGCCGTGATCACGACCCCCAGGAACGCCTCGATGGAGACCAACAAGTCCGCGTAGAGCGTCTTCGGGTAGAGCGCGCCGTAGCCGATCGTGGCGATCGTCTGGATGCTAAAGAAGAAATGATCCGAGAAGCTGTTCGGATCGGCCCCGTGGATGCAATCCCCACCCAGCATGAACAGGATGGCGAACAGGACGTTCACGCCTCCATAGATCGCCACGAGCAGGAGCCAGAAGTAGCGCCAACTGAGCTTGATCAGCCAGTGATAGATATCATTCCAGAAGGCGCGCGAGATCCCCTTGCGCACCACATTGAACTCACCGCGCTCGCCCACAAATCGATAGGTCATCTTCCATCGCTCCGATCACTCTGAAACCCCAACAGTCTCGACACATCTCAGGGTGTATGGTTTGATTCGGGCTCCTGTCTAGCCCCTCATGGCACTCGAAATTCAAATGCAGATCGAGAACGACATTCTGGATGGCAAGTACCAGCTCGGTGATTTGCTCGGGCAGGGAGCGCACGGCTCTGTGTACCGCGCGCGACACCTGGCGATGAACCGCGATGTCGCCATCAAGATCGTGCGCCCTCGCGCCGACGCGAGCGCTTCGGTTCAAGCACATCGGGACAGCATGATCGTGCGCCGCTTCGAGCAGGAGGCGCAGATCATCA